TAAACTTACATATAGTCAACAGAGCTACTCCAACATGCAGCCGCCCAGAGCAGCGCAGTTCCGGAAAAACCAAACAAACAAACACAAAACAAGGATTTTAGAAGATTACTCACTCAGGTGTGGCAATCTCACCAAAACCAGGACTGGGTGAGAAGGAACAAGAATCAGGGAGAAACCCCAATAAACCACAACGATTTACTTCTAAAGGCCCCAATATTCTTGTCACTTTTAAAACCCTGGTCATCAAGAGCTCTAATCCAGCACATTGTACCCGTCTCTTGCTCCAACTCACCTGATTAATTGGTTGAATTACCTGTTCAGCTGTTCAGTAAGCTCCACAGAAGCCATTCAACTGCCTACTGCTTAAAGCCAGGAGAACTAATAACAACAGGTGTGATGTGGGGCGACGGTGGCACAGGAGTTAAGTGCTCGCCCCGTAATCTGAAGGTTTCAGGTTCGAGTCCCGCTCAGTCTGTCGCTGTCGTTGTGTCCTTGGGCAAGACATTTAAACCCATGTTGCCTGCTGGTGGTGGTCGGAGGGACCGGTGGCGCCAGCGCTCGGCAGCCTCGCCTCTGTCAGTGCGCCCCAGGGCAGCTGTGGCTACATCGTAGCTCATCTCCACCAGTGTGTGAATGCGTGTGTGAATCAATCAATCAAATTTTATTTGTAGAGCACCTTCCACAACGTTATCGGAAGCCCAAGGTGCTGATCATCATAAGAAAAACATTCCCAGTACCTGGGCATAAAAGCAAGATAAAAATATGAAATCATAAAATATCAAGCAAACAATATTACAAGTAAAGAGAGGTAACGGAATAAGACTAATCGATCAAAAACAAATGGTGGACAAAATAAAATCAAGCATCTGGGTTAAAAAGAAGAAGAATAAAAACCATAATGTCAGGGCAATTCGAAGAACCCTAGCGCTAAAACGCAATCAAATAAAAATGTCTTTAATCGAGACTTAAAGACTTGAAGGGACGGTGCCTGCCTAATGCTCAGTGGCAATTCGTTCCACAGAGTTGGAGCCAGAACAGAAAAAGCACGACAACCCCTCCATCGATATTTCGACCGGGGGACCACCAGAAGTGTGAATGGGTGAATGACTGTGTTGTAAAGCGCCTTGGGGGGTTCCAGGTCTCTAGAAGGCACTATATCAAATACAGGCCATTTACCATTTGATGTAGATCTACCAGTGAATCAAGAGCTTCACCTTCCAGCTCAGCTCTCTCTTTACCATGAAAGACTGCTGCAACGCCTGCACCACTGCAGCACCAGCCCACCCATCAATCTCCTGCTCCATCTTTCCCTCACTCATCAACAACACCTGAAATACTTGAACTCCTCCACTTGAGGCAGAACACTTTCTCCGAGACATGTTTGTTTATTTATTTAGCAGACGCTTTTATCCAAAGTGACTTACAATTTATAACCTATAGGGCATGTTGTGATCTGTGGGGGAAACTGGAGTACCCGGAGGAAACCCACGCATGCACGGGGAGAACACGCAACTCCACGCAGACTGTATCGCTACCATGTGAACACCGTTGGTCTTCAGACACCTGCTGGATTATAAACATGTCCGCGAGCAAACCTAATAGCCAGACTCTACTGGCACCAAATCCCAGTGTGCCGTTTATCTGATTTGGGCCGGTCTGGTACGCACCCCCGACTCCACCGCGCTGACCACCGGCGGGAAGGCCAAATTCACGCGTTTCTCTGTGATGTCTCAGCATTGACGACATTCTTTTACTGATGTATGCAGGTTCAGTTTAACCTGCATAAAATAGTACGAATGATTTAAAAAGAATCGTTTAGAAACGACATACTGATGGATCAAGCAGAAACGGAGAGGAACAGGACGAAACACGGACCACCTTGCGTTTTCTTTCTGGCTCCTTGATGCAGTGGAAAATTTTAGCTTGCGAAGTTGTACTTGTGACAGATACTCCTCCCGCAGACAGAGGGAGACGCTCCTGCTTTTAAACACAGTTTGGTGCTTCACTGACGAACGACACGGCAGCTGTATCGGTCACATGGCCACCTCCATAACAATACGCAGACCGACGCGGGTGGGCCACATACATGCGCCGGTGCGTCAGTGTTGTTGGACCCATCACTAGTAATACTGCAGCCACGGTGTGTCTTCTGAACTCGCTGTGGCGGCTGGGTGACGCAGGGATTTTGCGGCATTCGTGCCGCCAAGCTTGGTGGTGATGTTACCACAACGCCTAACTTGTGAATGCATTTTACACCTTGCTGCAACCGAGGGAGGTGTCATGATCACGCGGAGAGTTACTGCCGAGCTCCGGCTGGCAACTATGTTGAAAAGGAAAGTGAACACGGGCACAAGTTTCACTTTTTTGAACCGAATCAGCTGAGATGATAAACTGGAATGATGCAGATCTCCAGGAGCTTTTGTCCGTTAGCGCTGGAGCTCAGATCGCCAGAGACTGCACAGGAACTGTGGAGGACAAACACCTTTAGGAGCGTCTTAGGTGTGTTCTTGTTGTGTGTTAGTTCTAATTCAATGCTGTCGTTCTTTTTAAAACACAGAACCGGTTTCGTTACCTGTTTTGTCGCTACGTTTCGCCGGCGGCCGTTAAAGGGACTTTTCGGACTTTTGAATTTTTATGCTCGCGAATGCCCCCTCAGGCCAAAAGCGTAACGGCCGCTTCAATAGTAGGCTCGTGCACGAGGCGCGCATGCTTCACGTGTACGCTCCTTAACGAAAATAACAGCTGAGACAGTCCCGTCTGTGTGTGTGTGTGTGTGTGTGTGTGTGTGTGGCCCGGAGGACAGAGGACAGGAGAACACGCATCTAATTAATTAAATAATGTGGTTCTGTACCTTTCTCTTCAGCACAGCCGACAAAGGTTTATGATGGGTCAGTCCTCCTGCATGCTCAGATCATTCCCTTCCCTTGCTTGAAAAATTGTTCCAAAATGAAAGTTGAACCCACATCTTTTTTATCTGTGAATTCAATGCCGTTCAGCGAGTCTCAAATAAAAATTTGGGCATCTTACTGTAAAAAAGAAACTCTAAATAAACTATGTTCACACCCAGAATCGAACCCAGGTCTTCTGCACGAGAGTCCGATGTCTTACTAGGTGAGCTAAAGCGCCAGTGACGTCCTTTGTATCTGTAACATTTATATCCTTGATGACAGCTGAAACAACGTTCAAAGAACGGTTCGGAGTGAAAATGGCTGTTTTGTTGCTAATTTGCAGGAAATATCTAGAAGAAAGTTGTACAGAAAGTAGCTAAGGGTCCTCAGAAATGTAGCTAGCTTTGTCACTAGGCGTTAGGAACAGCGACAAAGTGGCACTGCCTCTCTCTCTGCTGCTAAAGCTACGGATAGCAAATGCTACGGGCTATGCCTGAGCGTGAACGCGCATGAAGCAGCCTGCTCGACCCGAGCATCTCTCTTTTTCTGTGATTTTACAGAAAAACAGGCAATCACAGTAAACATGCCAGGGCTCATTCTACAGGACCAGGGCATTGCAGGAGAATGTATGAAGAAGACATTTATTATTTCTACACATGTTTTGGCCGTCAAACTTCCATAATGTCCCTTTAAAGAGCAAGTCACCCCCTACCAGAGTAACTCCACTCTTCACTTCACTTCATTGTTTAAAAAATGCAACACATGCTGTTGCCTGGCAGACCGAGAGGGTGGAGCTGCTAACAAATACACACACACAGAGGCTCACCACAGCATTGTGACATCATAATGTACCAGTTTACATCATAGCATACATCTCAGCCAATAGCGATGGCAGATTTAAATTCAAATCCAGTGCAGAGTTTTTACCTGACAACGGCACAACACTGCCAGTTTTAGGCAGAAAATTAAAATTTTAACTCAAATGCACTAAAGTGCAAAACTATTGACTACACGTGTCTGCAGCACGATTAGACACTCGTTTATTTAGTTTATCAGGGGAAAAAAGTTGATTTGAGGGAGACTTGCTCTTTAAAGGTAAAAGCTAAAGACCATCTCCGAACAGCTAGATGTTCCTGTGACTACAGCTGGATCTATTATTCAGAAATGGAAGATCCATGGGATTGTAGCCAGCCTCCCTGGATGTGGTCGCAGGAGGAAACTTGATGACAAATCAAAGAGATAAATAATCCAAATGGTACTGGGGGCTCAGCTGGTCACCAGCGACCCCTTCCACTGAGCCGGGAGGGGGGAGTCGGCCAGACCGGAGATGAGCCAATCACTAATCAGTCGCAGGCTGATTATAAAGGACAGTGCAGTTGGAGGAGGACGAGGGGAGATGGAGCAGACGTGAAGAGCTTGTGTAGCTCTGAGTCTGGCGAGGGGCATATAGCAACTAAGCTAATCCCTACAAGAGTGAGAAACAAAGCTGTGTTCTTCAAGCAGAAGCTGTGCGGTCTGTGTGTGTGAAGCCCGGTGTAGCTGACAGTGCCACTAAGCCTTTAGCCGGCAGGGAGCAGAAGGCAATCGTGTCCAACTGGCCTGTCTCTATAGGAGCATCCGTGACTACTCCAGGAGGAAATGAAACACAGAAAGGGCCGCTGAGAATCTAGTCTAGCTGCAGGAGAGCCAGAAGTACACCAGAATCTCTCTACAGCACATCCTCGTCTCCCCTCAGCCTAAACAGCAGTGCGTTAATATTCGATGCCCAGTAAGAATACATGAAATTAGGTCATGTTTAGAGAAAGCTGAACTTTTATTTTCTTTCCTTCACAACCTCTGCAAATGAATACGAACTGACATGTCATGTTTTTGATATCGTGATGGATTAGCTCATTATTGCTGTCAGTAAAACTTATTTAATGGATTTTTGCTGCAGCAAATTACTTTTAATCAAGTTGGTATCAAAAGAAAAACCTGTTTAACCAGTAAAAGGTAAAAACGATGTGTTCAAGTACAGTTTGTACTGATCAAGCGTAGGCCAGAAGGAAAGACTCACTAGTTGTTCAGGATCGTCACTGCTACTTACCGTTTTGTGTTTCTGCTTCCCAACAGGAACTGGATCTGGGGTTTACTTCATTTTAATGATGATTTTTGTACTCATGCCAAACAGCTTCTTTACTCATTTGCACCAGAATTTGTCTCCAGATGGGAAACTGAACATCAGTTAGCTGCTGCTGTATCCAGTCGCCTGTCAAACATTTCAACTGTTTGTGACTCGGTTTGATATTAGAGGTGATCTTTTGTGCGTCAGACATTTTAGCGCTTAAACGATCAGCAGAGTGCACAAAATGTAATGTTAATCATTTATGCATGGGTCCTTTTTTCTGTTCTTGCTCCACCCGGGTGCAGAGTCCTCCATGACCCCCATGCTGATGATGAAGAAGATGATGATGATGATATTTTGAGAATGTGGATCTGCTGGTCAGTCCGTTCTTATTTTATTATAATGTATTCTGACTGTTATTGTTTCATAAACATTTTGTTTTCTAAAGGCTTGTGAGCTGGCTGAAAGCGGCTGGTGGGTTTACGATGATGAATACGTTGGTGTGGGGATGTTAGACTCATGACTGAAATGCAGACTGGCTGTCGGTGCTAAAGGTCTGTGAACCAGTGTTGGCACACCAACCAAGGAGCATTGGTTCTTCATCAGAGGAATAAAAAACCAAAGACTCGGTTTGAGGTTAAAGCTGCAATGCTGAGAAATAAGTTGTAGTAATGTGTTGAAGTTCTACTTGCATTAAAAACTCTAAAGTGGGTATTTGAAGAAAAACTTTCTGATATAGAGCTCCGGGAGTGGACGTCACTTCTCCCGGCATGCAACAGTTCAAATCGAAACGGCGCCATCTTGGCAGGCAGAAGCCTGCAGCTGGACTATTTGTTATTGTCAGAAAACTCAAACAGGAAATGTGGTAGATTCCTGTTGTGCCCCAGGATGCAGAACAGACACGGACGACATAAGGAATGAGCCGTCTACAGGATTCCCCAAGATCCGGAACGCCGCAAACGTTGGATCATTGTAATAAAACGCGCTAGTGACCGGGCTGAAATGAAGCTGTGGGATCCCGAGAGTAAAGGTTTTCACTTATGCAGCAACCGCTTCATATCAGGTACTTAAACCAACGTTTCCTCAACTGTGTATGGTATTTATTTTAAATGCTTTTATTACGATTCTTAGTGGGCTTCCTAAACTTATTTTGGCGTGGCTTTTTCTGTCTTATTACTCATAGCAACAAGTAAACGTCACGTAAAACGTTGCCTCGTGAGTTCTGCGTGCTGCCGTTTCCGTGTTTTATGATCACAGCAATTAACCGGCTAAGCTGTATTTAATTTTTAAGCAATGGTTGATCAATCGTCAGATCACACATAAAAAGCACTTTGGATTGCTATTATCTGTCTCACCGAGTCAGATCTCAGACAGATCCTGAGACGCTCCTGCCTGACATTTTTATTTTATTCACGGAAAAAAATCAAACTAGTGATTTCTCTTGGTGTTCAGTTTATACATTCAAACAGCATAGCACTCTATTTAAACTACTTACATGTAAATCTATGTTATTTGTCCATCCATCCATCCATTTTCATCCACTTATCCGGAGTCGGGTTGCGGGGGCAGTAGCCTAAGTCGAGAGGCCCAGACTTCCCTCTCCCCAGCCACTTGGGCCAGCTCCTCCGGGGGAATCCCAAGGGGTTCCCTGGCCAGGTCCGCTCCGACAGCTTCTGGCATTTCTAAAAAGTATCCCAGGGGCACGGTAAGGGTCGGAGATGTTTAGTCTATTTAATTTCTGACTATATAAAACGATTTCTTCGGTTTTAAAGTGTGAAGTAAACTCCGACGAAGTAAAATCCAAGCCGATCCCGTTCATTTTGTTTACCTTTGTTGCCTGCCAACATGGCGTCTACTCTCCGAGAGTCACGTGACGTCCGGAGCTCTATAGGCTGAAGCTGATTGTGTTTTACTGTTTATTATTATTTGAACTGGAGGGTTCTGGGTGCGTTTTTAATGGAGTAAAATATTATTTTGTATTTCATGGAGCCGCAGCGGCGGTGTAGCAGTGAGCACCGCTGCCGTCTAACCTGTTCACTTGTTTCCTTTTCATTTAAACTGGTTTCTTAAAAACTAAACTGTTGTTAGACTTAAAAATAAAGGTGATGAAAGAACGTGTGTACTTTTGAGACTCTTATTGTGAAGGAAGTCCGGTTTCCTATGAAGACACCACTATGGAAATATCCAGCAGATATAAAATGTTTCATGATTTATAATCGACTCTATTAAGAATCACCCGGAACCAGCAGGTAAAACGATCAAGTCATTGCCAGGAGCTCATTGGGGTTAGCTTTCTTTGTGCTATTATTGAAATGTTTAATTAACTTTTTTTTTTTTTTTTACTTTTTGAAATCCTCCACATTTTAGTCAACTTGAATAAAAATCCATTTGTATTTTGTAAACAGGAGAAAGCTGCAGCAGCATCTGAGAGTCACTCTGCGGTGGCGTCCACGGTGGTTTTAGTAAACATGAGGGGAAGGTCGGGCGTCTGACGGGAGGTGTGCATGTTTAACAGCTTCTGAAGAAAAGCGTCGGGGGTGTTTTTATATGGATTGTTGACAAATCAATAAAAGTCATTATTCACGTTAAACACGACTCTTGTTTTCATTTGTAAAAACGCACGCTTGTGAAGACTTTACGTGCACAGACCTTGGCCTGTAAAGTTGACACGTCTGATGTTTGGAACAGAAATGTTGTTGCTGCTGATGCGACTATGACTAATGATGATGCCGCTAGACTGCGAGCATTCAGGATAAACAATCTTCAAAGGTTTAACGTGATTACGCAAGGCTAAATGGAATTATTAGTGTTGTGCTTTCAGCTAATTTTCTGACCCATTTATACAAAAACTCTCAGACTACAGAGTTTTTAGTGGGGGTGTCCAATTGTTGTGTTAATGGTAATTAGAATGCCTTCTCCGGGTCAGGGATGAGGTCCTGCCCCAAGTGGAGGAGTTTAAGTATCTCGGGGTCGTGTTCTTGAGTGAGGGAAAACTGGAGCGTGAGATCAACAGGAGGATTGGTGCTGCATCTGCAGTGATGCGGGCGTTGTACCGGTCTGTCGTGGTGAAGAGAGAGCTGAGTCAGAAGGCGAAGCTCTCGATTTACCGGTCGATCTACGTTCCTACCCTCACCTATGGTCACGAGCTTTGGGTGGTGACCGAAAGAACGAGATCGCAGATACAAGCGGCCAAAATGAGTTTTCTCCAAGGCTGGGCTCTTCCTTAGAGGCAGGGTGAGAAGTTCGGTCATCCGGGAGGGGCTCGGAGTAGATCCGCTGCTCCTCCACATCGAGAGGAGCTCGGGCATCTGGTCAGGATGCCTCCTGGACGCCTCCCTGGTGAGGTTTTCCGGGCACATCCATCTGGGAGGAGTCCTAAAGGTAGACCCAGGACGCGGTGGAGGGACTATGTCTCTCACCTGGCCAGGGAACGCCTTGGGATTCCCCCGGAGGAGCTGGCCCAAGTGGCTGGGGAGAGGGAAGTCTGGGCGTCTCGACTTAGGCTGCTGCCCCCGCGACCCGACTCCGGATAAGCGGATGAAAATTCATGGATTGATGGATGGATGGTAATTAATTAATTACAGCCATGATCACGGCATATTGCTTTTTAATCATATCAATCTAATTGTAATCTATGACTTTAATGTTTCTGCATGCAGGCTTTTGTTGCAGTGGGAAGAGTAAATGAGGTGAGGTGAGTGCAGTGACGAGACATGCTAAGAGAGGATTACATGAAAATCGTCAATCCTATGAATGGGAAATTAGCATTTCAACAACACTCCCACGGCACCACGGATAAAGCGTAGAGTGGTGCACCGTTTGCAGACGCGCTGGTGTTGGCTGGTGTAGCTCTGCAGCTCACAGAACCCTTTATAGTCTTATGGCTTGATCAACGCCAGATGCACTGAGGAGCATGTGTGTGCGTGTGTGTGTGTGTGTGTGTGTGTGTGTGTGTGTGTGTGTGTGTGTGTGTGTGTGTGTGTGTGTGTGTGTGTGATGTAACTCTTAAAAGTAATATGTTTTCATTCAGGTTCTCCTTTTTTACTTCTGTTCAGAAATGAGGGTGGGGACTGGCTGTTGGTTTTGTGTATGTGTGTGTGTGTGTGTGTGTGTGTGTATGTGTGTGTGTGTGTGTGTGTGTGTGTGTGTGTGTGCATGAGAAGGTCTACAAGGCTGAAAATGTGGCACTAATTCACCGTATTATCACTCACCAGCTGTGCTGCCAGTTTCCCAGTCTCCAGAACCACCAGAGCCAGAGTTGTGCACATTTTCACATTGAGTTATTGATACATTACAAAGTTTTTATAAAAATGATGTGCATACATTTCAGACCCCGTGTTGTGCATTAACAAGTTTTATAAAGGAGGCTCCTGGTCCATTACAGCCCCATCTGCAGGCTGTGGGCCCGCACCCATTCTGTTAGACGAGAGAGGAGAAGGATCATGTTGCTGGGTTCTATCTATATATTCCCAATGGCATTTAATCCGAGCGTGTCAATGTTGCATACCATCACACCCGGCCTCAAACCATGCACATGTAATGCTGACTGACATGTAATGCATCCTGCAATAAACACCGTGTCCAACAGGTTAACTTGGATTGTAAAGATTAATTTAAAAAGCACAGTTAATCAGGTAGCTGGAATGCACAGATTCAACGATTTCTGTTCATTAGACGAGTGTCCAATAACACATTCGATCACCAAACAGAAGATGTTTTTATTCTTAATTGCATCTTTTGTGTTTTTTTTTCTTGTGTGCCAAGATTTCTGCTGGGATCACAGTCAAACACGAGCAAGAGTCAAAAACAAAGGTGTCCTAAACTCAGCAGAAAACCTGACCTGTTAAAAAGAGTTTCCATAAAATCGTGAGAGTATTTTAAAAGCTCCGGAACAATCGAACTGGCTGTTTGGCTGCGATGACGGTGGAGAGGGGTGGTCAGCTGCAGCCTGTTCAGCGTCTGCAAGAGTCAAACCACTTCAGATCAAGATAATCATCAGAAAACCTGCAGAGATCAGAGATCAACACACAGATAAGTATTAGTTTAGCAGAAGTAATAAACCAAAGCAATTCCAACACCTATCATCCAGCTCTCCAATCAGTGCTTAGAAAAATGATCACTTTGTGACCTTTCAGGTGAACTCTATGTCGTGTTTATCGCTCTGCTTCTTCAAGAATGTGGAAGACCTTCATGCAAGGCATTGTTGGCGGTGTGTGGTGTCTGCACATCATATCTCATGTGGTCTGCATCAGTTTGGTATACTTTCACCTACTTTGCTGGGCAAACTGAAACTTAATCTAATGTAAGGTGAATGAATCATTATAATCTATGATGTTAGTTCTCTTGTGCGCCACACCTTGTCCCTGTGCAGTCGTTTCAGTTCCTCTCACCCCAACATGAGACAGCGTCCAAATTGCAACTTTCTTCTTTTCACCAGGAAAGGACAAAAGATGAATGTGAACAATCGTTTTACTGATCTATGTATCCTACTACTACTACCCCCCGTTTTTATTCACCAATATTTTAATCTTTGGTGCTGAGAATTACATACATGCATGACCAGATTCCATATATTGTTTGAAAAATCTGTGACTATAGTGAAATGGCGTATTTATTTGTCCTATAACATAGTTTTATTGTTGCTCTGTTGCATTCTACAGGAGCAACATCATTGGTGGATGATTTAAATGCTCAGCTGTGGGTGACAGCTAAGTGCCACAAACACCAGAATCACAGACCAGTGTTGACCACATACACATTTCCATCTTAGAGCCCTAGATTTGCTGTTAACCTCTGACTGGGTTGACCTGTCTTGTTTACATTTTTTCATCAGCATTTTAATAATGAACTGGGATTTATGAATCCAGGTCTTGTTATATATATTTTTATTGTTGCACGTGTGATTTTACTGCCTGACAAACACCAGGATGTGTTGTACACTACGCTAAATACATAAAACAGTCTGTATTATTTCCTCCTGTGCTAGATCTGCAGCTGATGCCTTCAGGTGCCCTGGTAATTCTGCTTTTCCAAACCACAGGGTACTGTTCTATCACCATTCATTAAATGAACGCAACATAAGAGATGCAAAAACACGTGTTTTAATTTTGACAGCGACTACTATTAATATTTACTATTAATATCGGAGTTTGTTAAAAACAAGGTTAAAGCACAAAAGTCAGTAATTGAGGTAAATCCTATATTCGTGAAGGCGCCTGGCGCTTTTAACTGACGTCACGCATGCGACGAAGTTCGACGTGTGTTGTCAGCTCGTTCATTTGGTTGTCGTTCTTTTGTTTGTAGTCTAAATATTTAGGTAAGTTTTTAGTTGGTTTATAGTAAAGTAAACAAACAGAAACATGAGCGAGCACTCACCGGCGGGCTGCTCCCCGGTGAGTGAGGAGAAACGTGGAGCTTCGGTCCAGCCGGAGAACGACGGCAGCACCGGAGGAGACTCCAACATGTCCAAGAGGCAAAGGAAGAAGCTTCTGAAGCAGCAGAAATGGGAGGAAGAGAGGGACATGCGGAAGTAAGGACACTCATTTACAGGGGGACGAGTAGGGGTGAAACAGAGGAAGCTCTTCGGGTTTCACCCCAACTCTGCTTAAGCGAACCAAACCCATCAAAACACCTGCCACCATAATTACTTTTATCTACTGAATTTTCTGTGGTCATCTCCAAGTTTAGGTCCTCCAACACCTCTCTTACCCATGGTGTCCCACAAGGTTCTGTGCTGGGGCCTCTGCTCTTCCTCCTCTATCTGCTTCCTCTTCAGCACATCCTGAGCTCCTTCAAAGGAATCTCCTACCATCTTTATGCAGATGACATCCAACTGTACATCTCCTTTAAGCCCCATGAGATGTCTAAGCTGCAGCTGTTACACACCTGCTTAGACACTATCAAAGCCTGGATGGTGGGAGCTTTCTTCAGCTGAATGAAGATAAGACTGAGATCCTCATCTGTGCCCCAGACAAGCTGGTTCCCAAAGTCAGAGACTCTCTTGGTCAGCTTGCTTCTCACACCAAACCTTCTTTCAGGAATCTTGGCGTGACCTTTGACCCAGCTCTCACCCTGGATTCTCATGTCAGTTCTCTTGTTCGCTCTTCCTTCTTCCATCTCAGGAACGTTGCTAAGCTGAGTCCCATTCTGTCCCGCTCTGAACTTGAGACAGTTCTCCACACCTTCATCTCCTCACGCTTAGACTACTGTAACTCTCTTTTCACGTGTCTGAGCAGAACCTCCCTGAACCGTCTACAGGTGGTTCAGAACGCCTGTGCTCGGCTTCTGACCAAGTCCTCCAAACACACCCACATCACCCCGCTTCTCCTCCAGCTTCACTGGCTGCCAGTCAACTTCAGGGTTCATTTCAAGATCCTGGTTCTGGTCTATAGGGCCTTACATGGACAAGCACCATCTTACATTGGTGATCTTCTTAGTCCCTACACCCCCAGCAGGTCCCTGAGGTCCAGTGATCAAAGCCTACTGGTTGTGCAGCACCAGGCTAAAGGTCAAAGGTGACAGATCATCTGCTGCTGTGGCCCCCAGACTCTGGACCTCTCTCCCCCTGAGCCTGAGATCAGTGGACTCAGTGGTCTCCTTTAAAAAGCAGCTGAAGACTCACCTGTTCAAGCTGGCTTTTGTATGACCTTCTTCACCTCTCTCTCTTTATTCTGCTCTCCCCACCTATCCCACCTTCCTCAGGATCCACTGATTTCCCTCTTTCCTATTCACTCTCTCTCTTTCTTTACATTTTTTAAATCACAATTGTCTATTTTTGCTCATTTTAAATATATTTTTAAAAATTTTCTAAATGCTTTTTTATATTTTTACATTTTTTTTGTTTTTGTGAAGCGCCTCGTGATTTTTATCTTGTGAGGCGCTATAGAAATCATATTTTCTTCTTTTTCTTCTTCTTCTTCTTTAAGATGGGTGTAGAAAAAGTGGAGGCAATGCAAAAATGTATTTAAATCAAACTAATCCATTTGAAACAGTTGGATGTATAAAAATGTATATTCAGGAACATTTATTTGATTTCCCAGACAGCTGCTTGTGTTTGAGTCGTCATGGAGTAAACAGGATGATCTCTAATCTGTCAACAAGATGTTTATGTTTATTTATTTAGCAGACGCTTTTATCCAAAGTGACTTACAATTTATAACCTATAGGGCATGTTGTGATCTGTGGGGGAAACCCACGCATACACGGGGAGAACTCGCAGCTCCACGCAGATTTTGTGAACCCTCTCGTCAGGAAAAGGCAGTATCTGGTTGTTCTCAGTTACAGTGAATCTAGATCACCTTTTCCACATGTTATGTTTTGGCCTCATTCCTCAGATTTCTACACAACATCCCATAATGATGACAGGGCTTTGCTAATGAGTACAAAAATTAATTTGTACCTCGTATTCTCAGTCCCGTGAAAATGTTGCTTAGATGTACTATTTTGTGATCTGCTGGTTTCCCTGTCCTCAACAGAAGCTTAACCAGGTCAGATTTGAAAGTTGCATAGTTTGTGGTCCGCTGAGTGAAGCCGACCCCACGCGCTCTGGTGGAGTGGTTAGTACATCACTGGTGCAGATTTGGGCCATTAAAATTCTTGTTTGTGTCGGTACGGCTTTAGAAATAATCAAGATTATTTAAAGGTGCATTATGGAAGTCTGACAGCCAAAACATGTGTAGAAATAATAAATGTCTTCTTCATACATTCTCCTGCAGTGCCCTGGTCCTGTAGAATGAGCCCTGGCATTTTTACTGTGATTGCCTGTTTTTCTGTAAAATCACAGAAAAAGAGAGATGCTCGGGTCGAGCAGGCTGCTTCATGCGCGTTCACGCTCAGGCATCGCCCGTAGCATTTGCTATCCGTAGCTTTAGCAGCAGAGAGAGAGGCAGTGCCACTTTGTCGCTGTTCCTAACGCCTAGTGACAAAGCTAGCTACATTTCTGAGGACCCTTAGCTACTTTCTGTAGAACTTTCTTCTAGATATTTCCTGTAGATTAGCAACAAAACAGCCATTTTCACTCCGAGCCGTTCTTTGAACGTTGTTTCAGCTGTCATCAAGGATATAAATGTAACAGATACTGTGAATGTCACTGGTGCTTTAGCTCATCTAGTACGACGTCTGACTCTCGTGTAGAAGACCTGGGTTCGATTCTGGATGTGAACATAGTTCATTTAGAGTGTATTTTTTACATTAATGGTATATTTTTTACAGTAAGACGCCCAAATTTTTATTTGGGACTCGCTGAACGGCATTGAATTCACAGATAAAAAAGATGTGGGTTCAACTTTCATTTTGGAACAATTTTTCAAGCAAGGGAAGGGAATGATCTGAGCATGCAGGAGGACTGACCCATCATAAACCTTTGTCGGCTGTGCTGAAGAGAAAGGTACAGAACCAAATTATTTAATTAATTAGCTGTGTGTTCTCCTGTCCTCCGGGCCACACACACACACACACACACACACACACACACACACACACACACACACACATACACACACACGGGACTGTCTCAGCTGTTATTTTCGTCAAGGAGTGTGCACGTACAGCATGCGCGCCTCGTGCACGAGCCTACTATTGAAGCTGCCGTTACGCTTTTGGCCTGAGGGGGCGATCGTGAGCATAAAAATTCAAAACTCCGTAAAGTCCCTTTAAAAGGTCATTTTGGGTCACCGTCCCCTCAGGGTGTTGTGTGCAGAATCTTGAGGAATTAAATGAATTGAACTCATTTTAGAGAAAGAGTGTAACGTAACAAATGTGGATAAAACGATGTGCTGATTGGAGCTGACCAATGTGTTTAACCCATCCTGTGCGCTGCGCCACCTCCAGGCAGAGAAGAAAGGAGAGGAAGCAGCAGCGTCAGCAGCAGAGGCAGAGTAACCGGGAGCAGGAGAGAGGACACGGGCCGAGGAAACGTCTTCGCAGAGATGTGACGCCCAGCTCTCTGAGGCTGGTGGTGGACTGCAGCTTCGATGACCTCATGCTTATTAAGGTACACAGGTGTGAAGG